ACTAACTTGCTTGCCTTCCACCCAACTCACCACCAGTGGAGTACAACTTTATTGCTATTTATAATACGTAATCTAGTCTTTATCATGTGTTTGAGCTGTACGGCCACTAGAAGTCACTGCCACAATAAATGTAAACATGAGTTGTAATTTTGTGTGGCTGAAACAACCTATATGGTGTTTTTTCCATGGAGGACACGCTTGGGTTCAAATACTTTTTCCAACCTTGACTGTAAATGTTTACATGGTGTGTTCAATAAAAACATGAAAACATTCTTTGGTATTAGTTTAAGCAGACTGTGTTTGTCTATTGCTGTGACTTAGATGAAAATCAGATCCCATTTTATGACCAATTTATGCAGAAATCCAGGTAATTCCAAAGAGTTCACATACTTTGTACCCTGAGTACATTTTAACAGACCTACTTTTTACCTTTATCTGAGTACATTTTTACTCAAGTAATTGAACTTGAACTTGAGTAAATTATTATACCCTTTCCACCCCTGGGTATTTGCATATGTGTGCATGTCTGTTTGTTAAATGTTATCTGCCTGTCAGCATCCCCAGTTCCTGCTTCCGTTTCCAAGTATCTGCTGAATGTGATCAATCCAAGCCCCACACAGCAACAGGAAATCTATAGAGAAAAGACGGGTTTCTATCCAACCCTCTGAATAATTGGCAGGTTAGAAGTTCATCCTGCCAGAGAGGCCTATAGGTAATGGGAACCTGGCATACACAAGATGTGAACTCAAAATGTACTAAATCTTTCACTCCGATGAGTGAAAATAGTGTGAAAGGTAAGATAACATCCTTCCTCTGCAAAAGAACAGCATTCATTTCTCCTGGTTAGAGTGCCTTATTACTCTTAGGGCAGAACAGTATATGGCATGTCCCATTCACTTTCTTTGGTGATCTCATAGGTAGGAAACACAGGGGCGTTGAGGAGGATGACAATTTCATTATGGGCAAGTAATTTATCTGCTTGGAGGAGCCAGATATTTGAGGTGTAATGATCTGATTCACTGGTCATTTTGAGAAAGGTCAGAACTAAGATAAATGTCACCTGCAGTGAATCCATGGGAGTTGCCAAGACTTCAGAAATAAACACAAGACAGGTATTGACTTACAGTGTGGTTCAAAGGGCCCCCCTTGCTGCTTCAGAATCACTGGACACTGACAGAAAATAATAAAGACATTTAAAAGGCTGTCGTGTATTTCTCTGGCAGAGTTGAGTGCATAATGTCATAAAAATAAAACTATGCTGGCCATGAAAGAAATAATAGGAGATAGGTTACATAAAATAACAGTTGAGAATGCCAGCTACAGGTACCTTCAGTATAAATAGTGCATCACATGATTTCCCTATGGACTGCATCAACCTCAAAGCACTCTTTGTATGCTAAAGCACTGCATTAGAAGCACAGCGATTGATCTCAGCCCCCCACCCACACTGACAGTGGATGATGCAGTACCTAAAGGTTTGACTCCGTGCCAGGCTGAAGGAGAAGGCTCAAGAGAAGTTGGTCGAAGAAAGACGGAAAAGACAAAGGAAAACACAGTTAGAAATGAGGGGATACAGAGAGGGAAGGTGGGTGGGTAGAATGATTTTTGACTGGTTAGAGTCTCTGCTTTGATGGAACTTGCTAATAAATATAAATTCAATATCATCAGTCAATAAGTGTCTGCATGGTGCTGGATGCTTTTAACAAAAGACTCATTCTTTCCCCACTTAGTTACAAAAGTTCAATGGTAACAAACATTATAAATGACCAATGATTCAATTGATGGATACTTCTTCCACTAGATTGGCCAATAACATAAATGCTGGAGTACCTATTAAGTGATGCATTGTTTGTGTCTGTTTCATCTTTATTTGTCTCTGGATGGCATTCTATTTAGACAAAAGTGCACAAGAGGAATGTAAAGCAATAGGTGTAGCAATACAACACAAAACAAGAAACATTCAACAAAATAATATGCAATAAAATACTGTAGCACCACATGGTTTATGACAGTAAGAATATCTGCAGGATCATAACCTTAAAGTTATGATTTTCAATTACAGCTCGAAACACTTAAATGTAAATGTTACTGTTGAACAGCAAATAGATAAAAGCAATGTTAGACAATGACCATTCTATCATTACCATCATCATCTGCTGTCTGACATTTGGGACATGGTATAAAACAAACTACAATCTCCTCTGTGTGTGTGTGTGTGTGTGTGTGTGTGTGTGTGTGTGTGTATGTGTGGGCGAGAGAGAGAGAGAAAGTGTATTTGTCACTATCACTTTGCATGGCCCTGCGATGGACTGGCGACCTTTCCATGGTGTTCACCGCCTTTCGCCCAATGTAGGCTGGGATTGGCTCCAGCCCCCCGTGACACACAGGATAAGCTGTTGACAATGGATAGATGGAAGGATTGACTCTGTATGGCAGCATTTGTTAATTCCATTTTGCACATGTTCTTCAGATATTTTGATCAGAAGACACAACTGTTTGTAACTTTCCTGCAGGGAAAATAATTAACGTAGCCCTTATGTTAGGACTCACCTAGGGAACATACGACCAGAACACATGCTTTATGAAAAGCCATTAAATGGAAAAAACAGATTCAGTCTGAGCCCCTTGCAAAATAAAAAAAAATACTGATTTTGAAACATCAGACATTAGAGTAGATGTGTTATATTTAGACAATGTGTCTAAATTAAAAATGGAAATTTCACTTAAAGGCCCTGTTCACCCACACAGGTCACTCTTCCCGTCAGCTTTGTTGACAAATTACACATTTATCATTTTTATTAATAAATACCTCATATAATTCCCATCATACTGTAACTCTACCTAACTTTAACCTGAGCAAAGGTTTAATCAGCCAGAATAACTGAAAACAGCTGTGTGGGTGTTTGAGGCCTTTAATGTCACTGATGTTTAAACTTTAAAAATGTGTAACCAAATACCTGTTGTCAGCGGACATATTTAATGCTGGTCGAAGGATATGCATGGGTGACTGTAAAAAGATTAAAAAAGGAATGGTTTGGCAATTTGGATAATTTGCTTATTCATTTTCTTACAAATTGAGAAAACTATAAATATGAAGCTGGACCCAGTTAGCTAAGCATAAAGACTAGAAATATGGGAAAATAGCATTTCTCAAAACGTCAAACAAGTATTTCTGTCTCTAAGATCGTCAAGGTCTGACACATTCACCATCTCAAACGACAAGATCTGCAGTGTAATCTTTGCATTGCATGTATAAAATAAACCTTTGCTCATCACAGAACAATCCTGCCTGCTATTGGGTAAATATCTTCATGGCATTGCACAGGAAAATGCATCTGTGTGTGTGTGTGTGTGTGTGTGTGTGTGTGTGTGTGTGTGTGTGTGTGTGTGTGTGTGTGTGTGTGTGTGTGTGTGTGTGAAATTTACTTTCCTGCCTGTGTACCTCTGTGATTGTCTGTCAACGGATTAATCCAAATAAATCTAGCCAACTAAATGATTAGGGGTCTCATGCAGTAAAGTCATCAATACAGAGATGGAGAGAGGGATGAGCCATGGGCAGCCAGCTCTTCAGATCTCAGCTGCTTTTCAGCACATCAGAGTGGATTCCAGTGAATGTGGAGTTACTGAGGGAAAAATGGAGGAAGGGGACTGCAGTGTTTTTTTAATTTCTGAAGAGCAAATAGCCTGCCTTATCATTGTGTCAGGGGAGAGCCGACTGGTGATTCACAGACGCAAGCTTTAAAGTGGTCAGACCCTTGTTTAGGAACACACACACGCATCTAGTTATGCAAAGGATTGAATCAGATGTGCATCAAAGAAACACACACAATGAGAACATGCAAAAAGAACGCTTATAATAACCAATCACTTATAGTATTATTGTATCTGTTCAGAACCACAGCATGTACACATGGGGCCAGATGCATGTACATATAATTTCCATCATAATTCCTCACTATTATTCACACCCTGCTTGTTGAGTATTACATTAGTTTCTTTGTATATTTGAGCATGTGTAAATGAAGGGCATCATTAGCAGCTATTCTTTAGTGTTATGATGCAAAACAACACATTCATATTTACATAAATACAATAAAGAAATCTCTGTAGTCTCTGCTGTTTTACACCTTAAGAGGTCATGCACTCAGGTTTGGCTACAGTCTAACAATTAGCTACGAGTCTATAGATGTAGATGGTCTCTTTTCATCATGTTTTCTCTAAGGTGAACATGAAACTAGTTGACCCTATCGGCTGATAAGGTTCATGCATACAGTAAACACATTATTTGCACAAAGGGATGATGGATAATATAAATGTATATAAATGTATATTCATGCATAATGTATGTGTGTGTGAGAGAGAATGAGCAAATTACAGCCCCCTCCATCTAGTTTCACTGTATTTACAGGGTTGTATAAAAGTCAACAGACAGAAGTGGAGAGGTGCAAAAAGTTCAGTGGCTTCTCTTTGACTTTGCTTGGCAGACTGAACCAGTCTAAGCAGACCCATGGGAGACAGTGACTGCACCACATATGGGTAGAACCAAGCATCAATGAATGGAGTCAGATCACCTTCAGCCTACATCTACCGATACTTCTTCAGATCCCATTTAAGTTCTGAAAATCCCCTCGAGTAACTTTATCAGACCAAATGGTGCCAAACAACTTCCACTGTCTAACCAGCAACCTTTTGTAACTCTCACTCTGAGACCACTCTCAGGAAGGAACACAGAGAAAGAGAGGAACACAAGAAGAGAATAAGGCTAGAAGAAGTGCTTTTAAAGGTCTATAGAAAAGATGGTGGAAGAGCAACTGGGGTAATCAAAGGAGAGCAGAGGCGATACGCTGGCAAATGGCTTTGATACTCATTGCCACATACAGTACAGTAACTGTTGTCCCTGTGTTATCAACTCTAATCTCTTCGGGGCCTCTAACCCAATAGCCACCCTAGAGATGAAACCGTTTCTGGTTTAATGATAAACCATGGTAAAATTCCTCCTAGAAACAAGCGCAGTATGCAACGTGGGTTTGTTTGGGTCAATGACAACATGGCGTAAGACAGCGCTGCAGAGATTTTGTCACTCTGAAGTCTGGTCGTATTTTGTTTTTTATGAGATTGCTAAGGGAAACTTGACTGAAGAAAATTGCCTTATAGCAAATGCAGGGTGAGTTAACTTTTAGTTTTGGTTTGTCTGTCTGACTTGCTAACAGCTTGTAAACTGAAGCTCTCAGTGTTGCTGCTCTTGTAAAAACACTACATGTTGTTCTGCTGCTGTATGCATCATGTGTCTGCAGACTATTTGCCTACCGCACATGATAACACGTTACACAGTTTAGTCACCCAAACCAACATATCTTGGCCATTTCAAATCTGACAGCTGTCACATAATTTGTAAAAGGGTCAGAACAGGAGAAATGCTGCAGACTCCTCAGTATTTATGTCAGTTGTTGGGCTCATTGTAATCACTTTAACTGTATTCTAAAGACTCATTTGTATTCAAGGGAATTGTGCATGGGGTCAATGAGTTAATTATATAATATAAAATAATTAGTGCTGGGCAACGATTAAAATTTTTAATCGCGATTAATCACAATTTTCTTGCGATTAATCACACTGTTACGTGCAAAATTGAATAATGAATTCTAAAGTAGTGTATTGCGTACTTTTAATTTAAATGTACTGCTATATATACAGAAGTGCAATAACATGTGATTTGCTGTCACTTTAAAAAAAAAAAGGTGCTTTTTACCAGTAGTGTTCCCTTTACACAGTAGCAATAAAATATTTCTTGTAAATCTCAACGTAAACATTAATGTAATCAAATCAAATATTAAACCAAAGCTAAAAGCTAAAGCTTGTAAAAGCATGTTAAAGTCCAGTTTTCTTGGGGGGGGGTTTCTGAACAGGTATCAGCAGAAACATTTTTATTTTATCAGGGAGCAGCATAAACAGTCTATGTTCAATCAGTATCAAGTTTTCCTGTTAGATTGAGGTAGCGACAAGTGGGTGCGTTCCTGTTAAACTGTCGCGGTTGTACTGGCCTCACGCACATGCCCGCCGCCGAAGTTGAATTGTCTTGAACTTTTTGTTCGCGAAGTGCATCACAAATCATTGGAAGAGAGACTGATCCTCGCTGTTTGTGAGTTTCCAGAATCTATTACTGTTTACTAAATAGGATATCATCAGCAGGGAATTCGCATTGCAGAGAATCCATGCAAAAATAGATGAAGGCCTATCAGGTTAAGTTATGCAACCTATAATTTTAACTTAAGTTAAATAGGCTACAGCTGTGTAGCACACAGAAGCCGTTGCCATGGTTACTGTCAATAGGCAAGGCAAGGTAAGGCAAGTTTATTTATATAGCACATTTCAACAACAAGGTAATTCAAAGTGCTTTACATAAAACATAAAAGCAACAGTGAAATATAGAGTCCCTGCCATTTACTTGTGGAGCGCTGTCTTAATTCTCCCACACGCATCCAGCGTCTGCCAAACTCTCCCTCCGCTGCTTGTTTGGGTGGGTTATTTGCAGGCTGATCAACATCCCACCCCTCCTGTGACCTATGGTTTGACCGTTGGCCTATGTGTATTCAGAGCAAGTGAGCAACGAACTTTCAAAATAATAATATTTTTTTAAATTGTTGGCGTTAATAAATGCGTAAAAATTATATAAAATATTTAATGATAATGCACTCAGATGGTTTTCATATCTCTACATAAGGTATTGGCTGTTATTATTTTAATGTTTATGTTTAATGTAAATGAATTGATTTAGACTAGATTAGGATGATTAGAGATAAAATGATTTTATATTTTGGATATTTTGTATACTGTGTCACAGATTTTATACATGTAAGAAATTTAAATATTGACTTGTCAATCGATTACACCTGACATCTAACACCATCGTGATACTGTGATACATTTTTCCAGGTGATCAAGCAACTATTCATCCTTTGATGAGTTCATTCTACATACCACCAATTTTACCAGGTAATAACCGGTGATGGCCAATAAATCAGCTTTATATAGAATATTTATTTACTTATTAGTTATTATTTCATGTACAGTTAAAGAGGTGGTATTAAGCTTTTTGGCTTTCTCCCTCTACTTTATTGAATTACATATGTTTTTTGTGCATGTAATAGGTTTGCAAAGTGAAAACGCCCAATGTCCACCCCAAAGGGAGTTCCCATCTCCCACAGAAAACACTGCTCTGAACTGCCTGAAAACAGCTTGTTTGTAGTCCAGCCTTTATTTCCCTTTCTTGTGATGTTACAAGTAAATATGTGTCATAATGCTCACCGAGCGGCTAGTCCGACACGCCCTCAAAAACACCAGTGGAAAAACACTGAGCTGCAGCACACCTCTCCTCTCCCTTCCAAACACTAGCTACCCTCCAGGCAGTCAGTGGACATAAAGTTGTTACTGTGATGTAGAGACAGAGCTAAGTTAAAACTTTATGGTCAAAAGATACTTTTGTTACAGATTAATAACTCACCACTCTGAAACTCTTGCTCCAGTCCATGCTGCCAAGCTGGTTGGCAACATGTAGTCTACAGCTGAATCGAAGCTGTTTACTGTCTTTTCACTGACCCGCCTTTTTCTGTTTCTGATTGGCTATTACCGGCCTTTTGCTGACCCGCCCTTCTCTGCTTCTGATTGGCTAGTAGCCCTTAACTAGGAACTGTGCATGTGTTGCTGCATTCCATTTACCTCGGAAGTCGAAGGTCGGAGCTGAGAATGACGTCACAACCGAGTTGACGGCGTTCCAGTTAACAAGTCGGAAAACCTTGCCCAGCCAGCCGTTGTTTACAACTAGCCAGGTTAGCTATTGATACGCCAGTTGATTTAAAAAACGCATTGTGCAGTATTTACTCATACTAAACACTGTAGCAACACGACCACATCCAGCTGTTAGACAGCACTTTGTGTACGAACATTTCTATGAGACACAAGTACACAGAAGTGCTAATAAACAGTATAAACTAGAGCTTTCACTAACTGTTGATACACCAACAGCTATCTTGGATCACGAAGTCGGGGTAGTGCGATTCTCCCGACTTCCGAATTCGGTAATCCGACTTAAGGGGACATTCCCTTTGAAATTTTGACCTTTGAACTCGGAAATTCTGACTTCCCATGTCAAATGGAACGCACCATGTAACTCCCAACAAAGATCATATAGAGACAAGATGTATCACTCCATAGCTAAAATGAAGCCTTCAACACAGGGTGAAAAGAGGAGCGGCAGCAATGTGCAGTATGACAAAAAATATGGGTTTTTTTTGAAAATTAAACCATGTAAACCTGTTCTGGTACAACCCCTAAATAGGATTTTGAACCTGAAAATGAGCATAATACCACCTCTTTAATGATCTGTCAAAGCAAGTGGTGTCTGGAGCACATTTTGGTTTGATGAATAATTCTGACAGACGGCTGAGATACCACTGATGTGCGGTAAAAGGCATTGTGAATTACTCTTAGACCAAACACTCAAGAGTCTTAAAGTTAGAACAGACACACCGTGTATTTTTAGGAGTTTCTCTGACCCCGGGGGGCTTCTGGGGACCGGCAGAGGGAGCTGGATAGCAGAAATAACAGAGGAATGAAGACAAACTGCTGAAAAAAACAGATGAAAACAGAGAGGAGGAAGCGGCGCATAGAAAGAGTTAAACTTTTTTCCTGGCACAGGGACCTTCAGGTCGCCTCCGTCTCTTACCACCTACCACCAGCCCACAAAATAAAACTCGCCTGAGTGCCCATCACACCAGGGATCAAAGCCATGGCCCTGCCTTTCCCTCTGCTTGAAACATACAGTGATTTATGTGCCTTGATCTCTCACTGTTCATTCCACCCTTCATTTTGTTCCATTTTACTGTGCCATCATCCCCTCAACCCTGCATTTATTAACTGCTCAAATGTTGCCTTCTAAGCACTACAGGTTGCTCTTCTGTAATGAGAAATGACAATAGTATTCAAAAGATAAATGACGAACAACTTGTGGAAGAAGTATTCAGTAAAAGTGTCAATACAACAACATGCAAACACTCCATTAAAGTTAAATTACTGCATTACTGCATCAAATTCCTACTTAAGTAAAACTACATAAGTATTATCAGCAAAATTTAATAAAATTACTATATATTGATTAGATGATTAATAATTACGTACAAAAGCATAACTAGAACATAAGTACTGTTGTAGCTGGTTGAGGTGGAAATAGTTTTAAATACTTCATATATAGGTAGTGTATAGGTAGTGTGGGTCAACCCCACAAGACCCCATCTCTCGTTTCTTGCCTCTATCCACTTTCCTATCTCTTCAATAAATGCAAAAATGTCTTAAAGTCCCCCCAAAAAACAATAGGGCAGTGTATTTAAACAATCTGGCATGCTTGCTGTTGTACTGCTCATCTGAAAAGAACAAAACAATTTCATAAGCTCCCACATCCACTTAAGCATCAGCCTCTATCCAGTCCAATCCGCCGCTGGGGGGAAATCATCACTTCTCATACTATGCAAAAGGTGATGTATGGGTATGGAGGGTGACGAGGTCACACCCTATATGCCAAATATCAACTCTGTACTAGGACTGCAAATAACAAATACTTCGAATCAAGGGTCTAAGGATAGAGAGGGTCATATGTTGTACAGATTTTTAAAGCCCCTTGAGGCAAATTTGTGATATTGGGCTATATAAATAAAATTTACTTGACTTGATTAATATATATTATTTTCTCAGAATCAATTATGAAAAATGGTAAACAGAAATAAACTATCATCACTGGAGCAGTGGTGAGTGGTGATGAATTAGAGTTTAAGAGTCTGATAGCTTGGGGGGAAAAGCTGCTCTACAGTCTGGTGGTGTGGCAGCAGAAACTAGTATACCTCTTCCAAGAAGGCAGCAGGGTGAACAGGCTGTGGCTGGGTGGGTACTGTCCATTAGTATCCGTTGGGCTCTGCGTAGGCACCTCACCTCACCGTTGTTATTGATGTTCAGGAGATGATCTTCTGAGCAGTTTTAATCACCTGCTGCGGAGCCCTCCGGTCCTGGGCCGTGCACATCCAATGCCAGCTTGTGATGTTTCCAGTCAGGATGCTTTCTATTGCTCCTCTGTAAAAGCTGACAAGAACTTGGGACGGGAATTTGGACTTCTTAATCTTCCTCAAGAAATACAGTCGTTTCTGAGCTTTCTTCACCAGCGTGGAGATGTGAGACGACCGTGTCAGGTTCTCCGTGATGCTGATTCCCAGGAACTTGATACTATTCACCTGCTCCACCTCAGCACCACTGATGAGACAGAAGTGTGTCTCTTTATCTCCTTCTTCCTAAAAGCAACGATCAGCACCTTGGTTCTGCTGACGTTGAGCAGTAGGTTGTTCTCTGAGCACCACTCTACAAGATTATTAATTTCCTCCTGATACGTAGTCTCATTGTTGTTTGAAATCCGGCCGATAATGGTGGTGTCATCCGCAAAGTTCACAACAGAGTTTTCTGCATGTCGGGGGATGCAGTCGTGGGTGTACAGCGTGAACAGGAGGGGGCAGAGCACACAGCACTAGGAGGCTCCAGTGTTGAGCACAAGAGTGAAGGAGGTGAGTCCGCCAATCCAAACTGACTGGTGTCTGTTTGTGAGGAAGTCCAATATCAAATTATAGAGTGTTGTATTTAAATCCAGTGTGCTGAGTTTGCTGATCAGTTTCATGGGGGAGATTGTGTTGAATGTTGAGCTGAAATCCACAAACAGCATTCTCATGTAGGTGTTGTTTTTCTCAAGGTGTGTGAGGGCTGACTGGAGGGCAGTGGAGATGGCATCCTCTGTGGATCTGTTGGTTCTGAAAGCAAACTGGTGAGGGTCCAGACTGGCTGAGATGTTGTTTTTTATGTGCTGAAGAACCAGTTTCTCAAAGCACTTCATCAGAATGGGGGGTCTCAATGAAAGAGACTGCCATTATTGCTTAATAAATGACCTCAAGGACCTTGATTCATTAGCAAAATTCTCATTGGATTTCATATAATAATCTTCTTTACAAGAGTTGACTGCTGAATTATTCTACTGTTTAAATTGCAAGTACCATGTTTGTATTACTTTGTTTTGTTACATTTACAGTATTTGCATTCATGAATTCATGTCAAGTTCATGTTGACAGCCAAATGTGAGAGCAGCTTGTTACATGAACTGGATGTTTGAATAACTAATTATAAAGTGATACTTTACAGTTTGTTTGCCTACCAGCTACAATCTGTCACTCATAGAACCTGCAGAAACATGGTGTCTGGTGCAAGGATGCTTCAGCAGAAGAGATGCAGATGTTTGCTAAGATGAGGACATATACTACAGACCTCTGGATAAAGAGTGATGTTCCTAATCACTCGCAGGATGGTAGCAACTTTACCTGCACTACCTTTCAGCCAATGGTGTGGGAAAAGGGCGAGGAGTAATTATTCAGGCTGATCCTATGATTGCCCCAGAGAGAAGATGTAAATGACCTGAACATGTTATTTTTAATGAATTACACAAGTGTCTGGCCCCTGGGGGAAAAGAAGACAGAGAGGCCTTATCATGCAGTGTGTGACCTAGTAATTTGTCCTGTTTAACTGCACGATCGTGCCCTCTTCCTTCGAGAGGAACTCATCTGAAAGCACACACAAACACACAATGTGCAATGAGTCATACACTGTCACATTCCTCCACATGCATTATAAAACAAGGGAAATCTTCTGGTTCATGTTTCTGCAAAAGTCTGTACCATAACAATAGTTTCTTTCACAACACAGCATCTAAGAAAAACAGAATGAAAAACATGGCTGTGTTGACAGCTCTGTGTAATTCATAAATAAGTATGTAAGAAAGGATGTTTCCTTGCGCTCTTGTTCATCATTTGTTCTGCGCCTATTGTTTTCAATTTTGATGCCTGACACCCACTGTTTATTGTATAACTTTCCGTCTCCTGCCTCTAAGCCCTTCATTCAACAGCATCTATAAAAAGTATTTTTCATCTCAATTTATGAATACCTCAGTTAATGTTGACAAAGTAATCCTGACAAAACATTTTTGTACTTAGAATAAAAGCAAAGATGCATATTGCAATTACAGAGGTTGCGCGCTGTTCCTCTATGGTGAACGTGCAACGCTAGACAAAACAAAGCCATCTCTGGGTGGGAGATTTTCAGCGTTGTCTGCTTAAATGTGGAAGTAGATGTGTTGTGCTTCTCAGGGTCCCTCTGTATCTCAACATGCCCTTGAAGAGCTTCTATAGGACCAAGAGTAGTGCCAGAGAGAGAGGTCTAATCAGCCTGTGACAAATCAGCCTCTTCTCCCGCTTGTTTTTCATTTGGATAATGCTAGCCTCCTCTCTTAAGTGATAAAACAACCTCTGTGAAGTGGTCTTTACACAGCCAGATTAAATGTGATCACCTTGCCAGCATACCCTGGGAGATAGCCATGATTAACAGGCAAAAGAGAATAATGATAATCATATGCAGGATAATAGCCC